TAGCACCGGCCAGTCCTATGGAACTGCATGAACCAGGGAAGAGATGGAGGACAGCTGTACAAAGGCAAGAATGAGGGCCCTTTGACACAATTATCCTTGCAACAAGCAGACCCTCTTCTGGCACAAAGGAATTGTCATGAGGCTAAATGCTGTGGCAGTGGGAATACATTCTGGTATGGTTACAAACCTGGATGATGGAGCTTTGTTTTTGCCATCATGACCAGGGACCTCTCCTTAATATTAGTGTAACCCATCGCAGAAGGGCCTAGAAGTTTGGGCAGTCATCCAGGGAAACAACTGTACAGTGATGAATTGCCAGGCTTGAAACTCAGGAGGTAAAGAGCACTGAGTGAGTTTGGGAGGAGCGCATGAGCCTACAAAGATAAAAATGGATCCACAGTTGCTCCCTGCCAGCCTGCTCCAGTTAAACTGGCTAAATAAAGCTCCCTTGGGCTTTGAAAAGTGACAAGATTATAGCCATTATTCTGTGGCTAGTCAGGAATTGCATGTAAAACAACATTCCTTTTTTACCCAAAGCCTTTCCTCCCTGAAGGCTTCAAGCTATGGCTATTCCAACAAACCTGTTTACATCAGTAGCCCTGTGTGGCCCATGCAACTGTTATATGCATAAAATATTAAGTCTATTTATCCTCCAAAATCTGTATTAGTCAGTTAACCTAGAAATTGTTCACTGCTACCTGGTAGAATGTAAAACAAACAAACAAAATCAACAAATCAACACAAAACTATCAGAGACCAAATTAACAGGGAGAGGGGTGAGTGGGAAGATCCTTTTCCTGCGAACAAGAAAAATTTGTTTTGTGATGTGCAAGCCTGGACCCTATGGGTTACATATGGGTTAAACAAACCAGTGTTCATCTCCAATTGTTTTAGAAGCATTGCAGGCTTTTGAACCCCATTACTTTTCCACAAAGCATAAGAGTCAGACTGGGACTCTTTGGGCTGCTTGTGCCCAATAAACACCTAAGGTTTGATTTTAGTCTAACTTTGCGTTGCTAACCCACAAACAGCTCCAAGTGTCATACAATAACCTACAAATGAGGCATTCGTAGGGTATTGCTACAAAAATAGGAACAGCTTGTGCTTAACACCTACTCTTTAAATCATGGGTTAATTAATCCATGATTTGGTGCAAAATGGCGCTGTTATGAATAACCGTCTTGTAAAGACTCGTTTCCCACAGTCTTTTTCACTCATTGTTTCAGGCTATTTTATGTGACGATTGTAAGCCGCCCTGAGGTTTCGGCAAGGGGCGGCATAGAAATGTTATAATAATAATAATAATAATGATGATGATGATGTTTGCTGCATATTTTGTGGTCTTTGTGAGTGTATCCACCCAGTAAAACACATGTACAAGCAATCATTACATTTTTTTTCTTTTATTTTTTCTGTAGGAAAACTGTAAAAAGTGACATGACTTTTAGGCCCAGTCACTTGAGGACCAAATCAGTAGCATGAAAAGTATGAAATAACTATACAGTGGTACCTCAGTTCACAAACACCTCAGTTCATGACCAAATTGGTTCTAGAACAAACATTTTGGAAAAATTTGGCCTCTGTTCGTGAACTCCGCATCGGGTGACGGCCATGATCGCGGCCATGTTCCTGCTCGAACACGATCGTGTCCATCTTCCCCACTTGCGGTTGCAGACAGACCTGTGGTCACTTGCTGTGAAGCTTTTTTGTATGTTTTTTAGCACATATAGTACTGTAAAATATTATTCAATAGTAATATTGAATAATGGGTCCAAAGAAAGTGCAGAGCAAGCATGGTGGTAAAAAGAACTTGCAGAGCAGTAATGAAGGTCACCAGAAAGTACAGATTTTTTGCCAAAATTGACCCGGCAGCTAAGAGACAAAGAAGAGAGGAAACCCCTGAAGGAGATCTCCCTGATGTCCTTATGGAGGGGGGCTCTCCCTCCAAACAATAACCTCCCCAGCACCTAGGTTAGTTTTCTCTACTGTACTGTACTTTGCTACTTTGTTGTTCTTTGTTTCAAATTTTTGTGATAAAATATTTTACAGAATGTATTAACCTTATTTACATTGAACCTTATGGGCAAATTTGACTTGGTTCATGACCAAAACCAGTTTGCAACCACATTCATAGGGGTCAGAACGGATTAACCTAATTTACATTGAACCTTATGGGGGAATTTAACTTGGTTCACGACCAATTCGAGCTGCGACCAGAATCGTGGAATGAATTAAGTTTGTGAACCAAGTCCCCTTTCTTCTTAATGATCTAAATTAATTACCAACTCTGCCCAACAGTCTGGTGTCAAAATCATTTGTTCTTCAGATAAGTTTTGATCTCCTAATGTTCCTCTTAGAGCATGGGCCCTCAAACTACGGCCCGTGGGCCGGATCCAGCCCACCATGCCCATTTATCCGGCCTGCCATGCCCATTTGGACCCACCATGCGCGTGCCCACACACGCGCCCACTGCCGCCCACCTCGCCCCGCATACGGGGAGGCAGCAGTTTGCTCGCTCGGAGAAAATGATCTCCAAGGGAACAAGCTGCTGCCTTGTGCACCCACCTCGCGGAGCGTGCCTGCCCCGCCCCGCCCCAGTGCGCTTGCCCACACGGGCCACCCCTGTGCACTGCCGGCACCACCTTTCTGGCCCGCACCCGGCACCTTTCAACTGGCCCCCTGGTGAAAAATTTTGAGGACCCCTGTCTTAGAGCCATACATTGACTTCCTATCTCCTCCTGATTCCAGAAGATCTGTATCCTTACTTTCAAAGGCTTCCATATTCCCTGCCCCCTCAGCCTCTGTTCCTTTTTATCTTAATACATCTAGCTTGTGATATTCATTTCACCAGCTCCACTACCCTCAGTCATGTGGATGTACCCTGCTCCCTCAAGGAACTCCATTCTTCCCCTTGCTGCCCAGTGCCCATGCAACTGTCCCAGATGACCTGTGTGCGGTACCTCTTGTTCTTACTTCAAATCCCTTTCAAAATTTACCTTTTCAGTGAAGCTCCTGACACAACCACCTAACTCCTTGCCCTTCCAGTATTGCCATCACAGACAGTCTATTGGGTGCACATTTTCCGGCCCACAGTCCAGAACAGTTCCAAAACGACCCCTGGCAAGTACCAACAGTGGTTCTTCTTCCAGCTGACCTGCTACTAAAGGAAGCAGTATAGTAGCTGGCTGGTCAAGGCTGCAATCCGGTGGCACTCTATTTCAAACAAAAGGTTTGTTAACTTTGAATAGCAGTGAGTGGAGTCAATCCAATACTGCCTTTTACATGAAGTACAAGACACATATTTAGCACAAGCATTCTCAGGCCAGGGTCCTGCCATCTTGTACTCTGCAAAACACATTGATAGCAATAGATATAATAACCATATCTGCTGGTCTGTGTTGACAATCAGTGTTGTGGATGTGAAATGCTCTTCTACATGTAAGCATACATTGAAAGGGTGCTGGGGACTATTCATGCATTTAGCACAAGCCACGCTGCTTCAGGAATGAATGAGCAGTTGGAATGCATCACAAATTAATTCCACTTCATTAGATAATTTTGGATATGTTTCCACTGAAAGTCAGTTGTGCAACAGCATTTTTATTAACATATTATAAAACAAAGTTATCTGGGCTACTTATAATAAAAGATCGTGGAACTGTTTAGTTACAAAATCGAATATAAAACCATAAAACTAAAAGGAACATGAAGCACAACATACATGCTTCCAGATTTTCTGTTGTTTAGTTCACTTTGCTAATTGAGCATGTACTGAAAGAGTGAAAACACTCCAAAATTATTAACTATGTAATTCCATGATTATGAGTGCAACAGGATAGCTAAAAAGTTCAGTGTGTTATTAATTGGAATTATACTTTATTACATGGACAGACTGAGGGTATTTTAACAGAGGATATGAAGGCTATAATGCAATATATATGTATAATAGCTCAACACATGTTTTGCACCCAAGTTTAGGCCCCAATATCTCCAGGTAAGATTAGGAAAGGATCGTGACAGAGGCTTTGGAGAACTGCTGGCATTCTGTGTCAACAATACTGGGCTAGATGGGCCCATGGTCTGACTCAGTTCTGTGTTCCTAAGTAGCAGCACAACCCTGTCTAGAGTTAAATGAGTCTCAGTACACAGAAATCATGGGGCTCAGATATGCTTACCTCTGAGGACTGCAGCCTTAGTTAAGGGAAGTCTATTGACACTAGTATTTACTTTCATGCAAACATTCCTTTCATGCAAACATCTCTCTTCTGTTTTGTATCCCACATTCACACTTACAAACAAAAAGCAGAGAATGGGAACATCTTGTATTAGAAAGCACTGACATGCCAGAAGAACAAAATTCTGGGCGGGATTATAAACCTGATAAAGAAGGAAAGGAAGGGTATGTAGCATGTAAGAATTAGGAAACAGAAGTAGGATTCATCATCAGAGGGAATGGGCAGCATACCTGTGAAAATCCTGTGTTTAAAAATCCGATGTTTACCTGGAAGTAAGCCCCCTTTTGTTCAGTGGGGTTTACTTGCAGGTAAGAATGCATTCTGTGTGCATTGTAAGACACGAGAAGCGTTTAAAAGCAAAACGAACAACCCTAAACAGATGGATTAAGTCTCACTGACCACAACTTACCTTACCTCTTTGTTTGGAAGCACTTGAATCTAAAGCTCGCGAAACATTTAAGGACATACCGATTATTCAGGCTGCAATCCTAAACCTGAGCATCAGTCCCACTGAATTGAAGGGGGCTTATGTCTCAGTAGCCGCTTAAAAGGCTTGCGCTGCGAAGTGAAGCCAAGAGGATGGAGACTCTATAAAAATTCAGGAAACTTAAGTTTGCCTATTATTCCGCGCCCCAAGAGACGGTGATGCGAGTCTGGGAGGGAGAAGAGGGCCGGCTCAACTACTGCGGTACACAAGGGAGTCTGAAGAGAGCGCCTCCCCCACCCTCTCCAGTTCCCTCACCCCAAATAATCCTGCCCCCTAACCTGTCAGCCTGAAGAAGCCGCCGATACTCTCCGGCAGCGGCAGACGCTTAAGGTAGGCAGGCAGCTGTACTTTAATGATGCGGGCCAAGCTGTCCAACACCATGGCGCACGAGGCTCGGCTGGCGAGCTGGCGCCAGGAAGGGACGCAGGGAAAGGGGGCGCTGCGCCGCTACCTCCCGGTCCTCTCTCGCATGCCAAGCTCGACTTTGCCCTGCTCCTGCCTGAGTAACACCGTCCGTTCTCTTCACGGAGCATGCGCACACATGACGCATGTTGTGGAGCCGCGCGGCCCGGAAAAAGAGCGGCCGGAGCAGCCGCGGCTGATTGGACTGGCTTCGGCCCACACAGGGTCCCGAGGGCGCGGAAGCACAGGCTGCGTTTGGCTTTGCAAGCCCGCCCGCCCTGCTCCCTCCCGACGTGACAATGGGCGGGCAGGCAGGCGAGTGGCTGAGGAAAGAGGAAGATGGTTATTTATCAGCAGCATCTTGCAACCGGGATGCGGACGGTGCACGTCCCACGGAGGGCGTGCTTTTTAAAAGTTCAGCAGATGTGTGAACCGTAAGCGAGCAAGTGTTGTGGCAGAGCTGCTGTCTGTTTCGAAGGCGCTTGGGCAGGACGTTCTCAGGGCATGTCCTCAGTGATCAGGAGAGGCCTGGGCCACTTTCGCTTTGCTTTGCTTAGGCTCCTCCTTTTATATTAGGGTAGAGGCGATCTGGTCGGCGCTATTTACTTGGATTTCCAAAAAGCTTTTGACGCAGTTTCTCACCAGAAACTCCTGAGCAAACTATCAGTCATGGAACAGGAAACTTAGCCATCAGAAACTGGTTAAAAACAAAGCAGAGGGAGAATAAACGATACTTTATTTCAATGGAGGGATGTAATCAGTGGGTTTGCACAGGGTTCTGTTTTAGGACCAATGCTCTTCAGAATATAAATGTTCTGAAATTAGGAGAAAGCAATGAAGTGGCCAAGTTTTTGATGACTCCAAACTATTTAGGGTGGTTAAAACCGAAAGGGATTATGAGGAGCTCCAAGGGGTTCTCTCCATTCCAGGTGAATGGTTATCAAAATGGCAAATGTCATTCAATGTAAACAAGTATGAAGTAATGCATGTTTGGACAAAAATTTCCAACTTCAAGTATAGGGTGGTGGGATCAGAGCTAGCAGTGACTGATCAAGAAAGAGATCAGAAGCAGGGGGGACAGCTCAATGGAAACTTTGACCAGTGCGCAGCTGCTGTGAAAAAGGCAAACTCCATGTTAGGTTTAATTAGGAATGGAAATAAAACTGTTAAGATTGTTCTCTCCTTATGTGACTGTACTTAGAATATTGTGTACAGTCTGTTTGCCACACTTGGAAAAGGACATTATTGAGTAGGAAAAGTGCAGAAAAGGGCAACTTCGATGATGAAGAGGTTGAAATGATTCCTCTATGAGGAACAATAAGAACAACTGGGATTAACTTAGAAAAAGAGGGATGTAAGGGGAAACATGAGAACTGTGTGAAATTGTGCATGGTGTGGAGAAGTTGGGAAAGGAGACATTTATTTCCTCCCATAATACTAGAACTTGGGCTTATCCCATGAAGCTTACTGGAGGGAGATTCAGGACAGAGAAAAGGAACTACTTCTTCACACAATTATTAGCAAAAGTATGGAATTTACTGCTACAAGAAGTAGTGATGACCATCAATTTGGATGGCTTTAAAAGGGGATTGGATTGGACAAATTCATGGAGAAGGCTATCAATATCTACTAGCCTTGTTGGCTATGTTCTGCCTCTGTTCTCAGAGGCGGAGTGCCTGTGTATACCAGTTGCTGTGGAGCATGGGCAGGCAGAACTCTTGTACATGACCTGTTTAAGGGATCCTGCTGGCAGCTGGTTTGCTAAAAAGTGAATGGAGTGCTGGACTAGATAGTCCATCACTCTGATTCAGCATGGCTGTTAGTATGTACCTAGAAAATGAAGAAAAGCCAAAACATATTTTAAATGTTTTCATTTCACACAAAATAATAATATGCAAGTGCTTTTCTAGCTTTTTTTCCTGTACAAATTCACCCACTACTGAAAACAAATAGTTTTCATGGAATGCCACCAGTTATGTTAACATAGCAAGACCATTTAAACAAACTTGACCTGTAATTGAATGGTAGTAATTCCTAACCTGCTTCAGCACAGTGAAATTGCAGGTCCTTCATGAATGTGAAACCTTGCCCAAATAGCCCTTTTGTCCACTCACCCACCATAATAGACCCTTTCTTAGTGCGTCTTCTTCACTCAGTGAGACTCACCCCTGTAGCAGCTGCTCTTGCTGTTCATCCTCTTTCTTATCATTACTAATGCTTGCATGCTAGGCAGAGAGCCAGCAAACAAGCAGGCAGCAGTGTCTCCTGGTCCTCCTCACCACCAGTACTTTCAGGGTTGGAGCAAGAAACAAGTGAGCATGCAGGCTGCAATGGTGAAGAGGAGGATCAGCTTCAGGGAGTTGTCGGTGGGGCCTGGCTGGGGTGTGGGCTTTTGGCAAATGCCCAGCCACATCTGCCATTGATGCAACCCTGGGCAGTGTTGTAGTGGTAGATTTCACAGTACATGCTCTCATTGTGACAGTCCCCATTCTAAAAAGTCCTAGAGAGAGTCCAGCGTTGCAAGCAGCTGTGTGAGGCTATGAGCTTTTATCTCCTAGGATCAGCTCTTTGTAAAGTGAATGGTTTTTAATTGCCCATTCAGGAGCAAGCTAACACTGAATATTTTGCATTATAAGAAGGAACAGTGTATTGTTGGGAAAACACCAATGACATGAGGACATTTAATCATGAGGTTCTGGGAACCAATGTTGGTTGCTAGGTACAAGGTTGAAAGCCAGGACATCTAAAGTAAATTTCTCTGGAATGATACCTATTCCATGAACAAGTTAAAGGGTTTCAATATATGGTGCTGTAGGGAAAGAAGTTGGGTGTGTTGGGCAACTCGGTCCTGTACAAGAGGGATGGACCCCACTTGAACCAGAATGGAACTTCACATTAAAAAGGTGTTATCTTAGCCCCCATGAAGACAGATCTGAATATTACAGCCTACCAATATGTATATGTTAAGTCTTAGATGCTGGCCAGGTACCACTAATCACAGCAATGCATACTGATAGTCTGATGCACAGAATTCTGATCTGACCTAACACTTTTACAATGGAGCATCACTCAAAATTACTAATATAAAAGGGTGCAAACATTACAGGCAAGATGAAGAATACGTGGCGCTAGTTGTTGCAACTTCCCTTACCATTAGCTATGCTGGCCAGGACTGATAAGAGTTGCAATCCAACATCTGGAGGACTGAAGATTTTCTAATCCTACATTAAAGAATCCATTCTGAGGGAGGGTAACATATGGCCCTCCAGATGGTTTAACCTACAACTCCCATCATTCTTCACCATTGGCTATGCTGGCTCTGATGAGAGTTGTAGACCAAATCCCTTGGAGAACTACAATATATACACTCTTTGCATCATAAAGCTAAAATATACTGATGCTTGAAAGCATTACCTCGTCCCATCTTACAGTCTTTTGTGTTCTTGATCCTCATTCATAATTCTTCATTCTAAAATGATTCTGCCTATTCGTGACAATTTTTTTAAGATAGTAGGGAAAAGTCATTAAACAAATGCTCAAATATCCTGGAACAACAAACAAAACAAAAATCCTTTCCACCAAATTTCATTGAGCTTGTGCTTGAATTTATTTTGGGAGAACAACCCAGAAGGCCTGAACAGACGGTCCAGCTTGGATTCAGGCAACGCTCCCATTCATATCAATACTATTTTGTGCCTGTATTTTTTTGTTTCCCACCTCTTCTTGATTGTGTCTGTGGTTGAAAGCACTTGAAATCTATCTCTGCGGCTGCTGAGCCTTGCTGAGTTGCCTTTGATCTAAGTGTCTTTCAGCAGAGGGAGAGACTCACTGAACATGCTGAGCAGAAGAGCTTTTTATTGCTTTTCCATTCACTACCTAGACATAAATAGATGTTAGTGACAGAGTCCTGGCCTATATTAAACTAAAGAACTTATTGAAGAAAATAATGAATTGTTGATGGAATGTTAGACTGGAATTTTTACATCTCATAAAAAGCGTACAGGGCTGAGATTCTGAAGAGCAGTGTTATGTTCCTGCTCTCTTGCACTTATTATTTTACTTTGTGTGTGTATGTGTATACACACATATCATGTAAATCAAGATGGTGTACATGGGATTCCCAGGCAGTCTCCCATCCTGGCACTGAGCAGTATTAAGCTCTACTTAGCTTCAGCAAAGCCAATTCTGGAAATTGTGAGCAACCTATAGCAAAGGTGAGCAGCTTTGGCCCTCCAGCCATTCTCTCCAACAACTCTCATCAGCCATAGCTAGCCTAGTCACTTGCAAGAAATCATGGGAGTTGCTGACTAAAACACTGGGAGGGTTACAAGTTGTCCATCCCTGAACGAATGGGCAGTTGCACATTATTGTGTTTGTATGTATTACAAATTGGGATGCTGTGCCTGAACAATGGAGGCTTCTTGAGACTGCCCATAATATTTGAGAATGCCAAATTTCTCAATGTCTTTTTAACTCCCATGCCCCACTGTTACTCCCTTTACCCCATTTAAGAAAATACCATATACCTCTCTTGTCATACCTTTACTCTCTCTCCTACCCTTGATACATGACTTATGTATATGGATTAGCCCCACATAGTAGAAAAATTGATGCAAAGACATTTATTGCACTATCATCAAGAATGGAGAAGCCACAGCTAAATGATAGGCAACAGACTTTGCACACAGAAGATATCTGGTTTAACCTCTAGCATCATCAGATAAAAGGTTCTCAGGACGCAGTACTTAAAAAGAGATGCTAGAGCACTGGGTCAAATGTTCTAGCTCAGTATAAAGCAGCTTTATATGCAGAGAAAATGTGTAGAAGGAAGCACGACTGACATATCCTTGAAAATCTGTAATCATGGCTAACGTATGTTCCATTCATTGTAACTGATCTCCTTTAAGTAGGACTTATATTAGATTTTACCCTATGAATTCAGCAAGTACACAAGGGTTCCTCAAACTTTTTTAGGCCAGTGAGTGTGTTTATACTGTCAAGGGAGTATCATGGGAGTTCCTACAAAGTCGCTGCTGAGGGATTGTTCATTTAGAAAATTATTGCCGTGGTGGGTGTGGCCAATCACAAAACACTCATTTCCTAGAAGCAAAATTGATGGGATTAAAAGAAAACTAGTTTTCCTAAGAACTTAACGAGGTAGTGGTGCTGGTGAATCTCAACT